ATATAACATATATATGTTACATCTATACTTGGGACATATAGAATTAGCTATATTTATATGTAATAAAAATATTTGTGTTTGAAATATACAGTTCTAGTTATTACTTTCTTTTAGATTAAATCAGTTTTTCAATACTCTACTGCTAATTTAATAAATGACACTTTATTAAGTAAACTCATTGATGCTGTTTAGAAAAGTGTAGAATTTATTGAAGTAGAATAATGTTTGGAAAGAATCTAGTGCTCTTTTTAAAATGAAAGTTGAAAGAGACAAATTTGAATATCCTGATGTGAAGAGGAAACCAGTGGGTCTTATTGAAAATTAAGATGAAAAGGTTACATGTACAGTTATTTGCCAGTGTAATGAGAATGTCCATGTCTCAGATTATTAAAAATTGGGAAGTTTATATTAAAGCTAGTTGTCGTGCTTCAATTAGGTTAGCAAATATGGATGTCAGTATTATCGCAAATGCAGTATTAGAGCTGATGTTTAGGCCTGACCTGAATGCAAGGATTAAATTAAGTCTAGTACTCCACTCCCTCAGATTGAGTAAGGAGTAAACAGCCTGGCGTTTTCCTTATCACAGAAATCTCTTTGGTGTGCTGTTGTTTGGTGTTTATATAAATAAGCAGATAGAAAAGGGTAAACAGACTCATCATTAAGTCATTGTATTGAATCAGTAAAGTGATAATTGAGTCTTAAGATCCAAAACAGAAATGTTGAGGATGACTGTTATGGGAATAGTTTTTAAAAGGAGGAAACGTTAAATCACCAAGAGATTTAATATCCTGCTATTTTTATGCATTTAACAACAATAGTAAAGAAAATCCGTGCAGTTAGAATTTGGAGTACTTATTCCTTTATAGCTGCTTATCAGCTTGGAAAAGATGTCTGGCTAAAAGTAAACATGTGTATATACTATACATGTGTATCTCAGGTAATTTATGTGTCCTTCATTGGAAGAGGAAAAATATGAGAAAGCTTGACTGTTTAGCTTCTTTTTCTTCATCCTCTTCTCTTTTTTATTTGTATTTTCACGCTTATCTTCCACTTTGATATTGCATTAAGCTTTGGCAGCACTGTTTACTATTTATTCTAGGAATGCTTCCTGTATAGAGCCTCTGCTACCATATCCTGCTAACAATACAGTAAATGGAAATTTGGGGAAAGCAAAAGTAGGAACTGCTGTGTATCTGTAGTAAGTTAATCAGATTTTGATACCCCAAAACTAACACAGCTCACAAGACTGATAGCCAGATGCTACAGTAAATTGTTGCTTAGCAGCAAATCTACAGTACCAGTGTAATTTGGACAATGGGGCATTTGACAGCTAACCCATCAAAAGCAGTGCACCCTGAGGAAGTTGCTCACTTCCAGCTTTACATTCAGTCAGGCATTGATAAAGCAGTGGCTAAGTAGGAGAATCAGTTTAGAATTAAATGATGGCCAGGCTGTTTATTGCATTGCCAAAAGGAGACACAAGCAGATGGTAGATTACTCTACCTCATGACTTTGTACTATGTACTTACCCAAATTAGATGGGTCACCTAGGCCTTATGAATTCCTCTTGAGTGCCAGTTTGCTCATATATTAATAGGTAGAATTAAAAGCTAAGTTACTATCTGTTCCCCAAAGGTTGAGGTATACAAAATGACACAGGATAGTTCTGAGTTGTCTCTCATGTACTGGAAGTAATCAAATAAGCAAGATGATGTTCATGACTTCAAAGAAAAGAAATCTTTGGAGAATATGTACATTATGTTTCTATATGAAAGTGTATCTTACCTAGTGGGCCAGAAAGTGTTAAAAGATTTGAAGGGAGTAAAGATGCTTCTAATTCCCAAATTGGATGAGCTCCTTGAATGTGAGCTTTTTATGTTTTATCATATTAAGCAAACTACACAGTTATTTCACATTCCCCACAGTTATCATCAGTCTTTTATGCTTTAAAAAAAAAAAACACTTTTAGGTTCAAGATCCCCACTCTGTATCCCAACTTGCTATAAGGAAAGACTAGAGATACCAGTGACAGGGGAGTCAGGAGAGAGAGCAAAGCTGTGATAGGGAGCAAGCCAGTGGTGGCTGTGAACTCAAGCCCATTGTCGTATCTGCTGGGCAGTGTAACTGAGACTAGTGATTCACTGACACAGGTATCCTAGCCAGACCAATGCCCTCGTGCCATCAAAAGTAGAACCAAAGGAGAAAAAAAACGTTTGGAGACATTAAATGGAAAAAAAAAACTTTTCTTACACTTGTAGATCTTGTGAAATCTCTCTACAGATCAAGTGTAACTGATCAAATTTAACTTCTGAATTGAGATGTGCTGTAATCAAGAAACACTGTATTTCAAGACTCTGAAAGAAGAAAAGGATATAATATACCTTGTTCTTCATTCTGATGTGGACTACATTTTGAATGATAATATTTAGATTTATTTGGTTAAATAAAAGTATTATTAAAAGAAAGTAGAACCAAGCACTGTTCTTAGAAGAAGCTAAAGCATCATTGAAAAATGTTTCAAAGACCAAAATGACAATGGACTGTAAGCTTGAAATTATAACCCAGGGAAATGCAAACTCAGATTGAAACATACTAAATGCAAAACCTTTGTGACATGGAAAGGCCATCAAAGAACAGGTAACAAAATAAATGCAAATAGTTAGTTAAAAAGAAAAAAAGTTACTTTTCTGAATTGCTACATTTGTCTTTTTTTCAGATTTTTAA